TAGGGTTTATTTGCTACCTCTTCAGTCTCAATATCACAGCAATATGTGGGTTCGTCCAACCTCTCGATGGTGATATGGGGAGCTTCATTGTCCCACCTGACTTTGAACATAGAAGACATGATAGCTAGCGCGTCTGCTAATTGGTTCTCCTCTCTCGGGAAGTGTTCAAAGGTTATCTCCTCAAAATGTGGGAGCAATGTCAGTATGTATTCTTTGTAAGGAATAAGATTTGGGTGCTTCGTATCCCACTCGCCTTTGTTATGACTGATTACTAGAGCAGAATCTCTGAATACACTCAAGAACTTAATCCTCAGGTCAATAGCAGCTCGAAGACCCATGATGCACGCTTCATACTCCGCCATATTATTGGTGCAGTTAAAGCATAGTCGGGCGGTGAATGGAGTATGACAGCCCTCAAGAGATATAATTACAGCGTAATTCCATTACCCAATGTGCTTGATGCTCCATCAAAATACATAGACCATCAGGATCCTTCTTCAGGTCCTTCATCTGGTCCAGGTTCTTCACAGTCGGTCACCAACATGATGTTCTCATCTGGGAACTCGAAATTCATGGATTGGTAATCATCCACGGCCTGATGCGCCAAATGATCCGCCAATACACTCCCTTTGATTGCTTTTTTGGTGGTGTATTAGATGTCGTACTCGGTTAGGATCATCTTCCATCTTGCTATTATTCCGGACACGGCAGGCTTCTCGAAGATATACTTGATTGGATCCATCTTAGATATCAATAAGGTGGTGTGAGTCAGCATATACTGTCTCAGCCGGCGAGCAGCCCATGCCAAAGCGCAGCAAGTTTTCTCGAGCAATGAGTATCTGGTCTCACAGTTGGTAAACTTTTTTCTAAGGTAGTAAATAGCGTGCTCTTTTCGGCCAGACTCGTCATGCTGCCCCAGCACACACCCCGTTGAACTATCCAGTACTGTCAAGTAGAAGATCAAAGGTCTTCCTTCAACTGGAGGTATCAAAATTTATGGTTCTTGAAGATATTCTTTGATTCTTTCGAAAGCGGTCTGACATTCATCATTCCATTTTACCACTTGATATTTCTTCAGCAGCTTGAAGATTAGCTCACAAGTAGCAGTTAGATGTGAAATGAATCTGGCAATGTAATTCAGACGTCCCAAAAAGCCTCTAACTTCTTTTTCTGTGCGGGGGACCGGCATCTCTTGTATAGATTTTACCTTTGCAGGATCCACCTGAGTACCTTTGTCACTGACGACGAAACCCAGCAGTTTACCAGATCTTACCCCGAAGGTGCACTTGTTCGGGTTTAACCTCAGCTTATACATTTTCAACCTGTCAAACAGTTTCTGGAGATGATCTAGGTGATCTTCCTCAGTCTGGGACCTGGCTATCATATCATCAACATAAACCTCGATCTCATGGTGAATCCTGTCGTGAAACAGAGCGACCATGGTGCGCTGATAAGTTGCCCCAGCATTCTTCAATCCGAACGGCATGACCTTGTAGCAAAAGGTGCCCCACTGTGTAACGAAGTTTGTCTTCTCCATGTCCTCAGGAGCCATTTTGATCTGGTTGTAGCCAGAAAAACCATCCATGAAGGAGAAGATCTTATGCTGCGCCGTGTTGTCGACCAGAACATCGACGTGAGGAAGGGGGAAATCATCCTTGGGGCTTGCCCTGTTCAGATCCCTATAGTCTACACACATCCGTACCTTACCATCCTTCTTAGGTACTGGAACAATGTTGGCAACCCACTGCGGATAAGAAGTGATAGCTAAAAATCCCGCGTCGAACTGTTTCATGACCTCAGCTTTGATTTTCTCAGACATTTCGGGGCGCATACGGAGAACCTTCTATTTTACCGGAGGAAATTCTTCTTTGGTTGGTAGGCGGTGTACCACAACATCGGTGTCCAAACCAGGCATGTTTTCATAGGACCAGGCGAAGATCTTGACATAGTCGCGTAGCATTTGTATCAACCGTTGCTTGCCACTAGGCTCCAGATTTGCACCTATCTTAACCTCTTTCATGTCTTCCTTTGTACCCAAATTCACTGACTCAACTGGCTCTTCATGAGGCTGTATGGCCCTCTCTTCCTGCTGTAATAGTCTGGCAAGTTCTCCAGGAACTTCACAATCATCCTCACCTTCGTCCTCGGCTTGGTTGATCGGATTTTCAAATTCATAACTGGCAGTAGAAAAGTTGTTATCAACGGGATCCAGAGTGGATATGGATCTGCAGTATGATACGTGAGTGTGTGTAAGAGAATAGCTGTTTTGATAGAGCGAGAGACAGAAAAGAAAAACAAAGAGCGCAAAATTTGTAATGCAAGAAAACATCCAATGTTTTATTAATGATATATGAAATGACAAATAATAAGCCCTCACAAGCAAAGCCAAGGTGCCTCGGGCAAGGCATCGGGCCGTAAAGTTTCAAATTGTTTATTACAACTCTTAAAACAAAAGTCAATTACTGTGGAATAAAAGAAATAGGTATGAAGTCCTTCGTCGTCCAGTTGTTCAATCCACTGTTGGTTGTAGGGTAGATCCAGCTATCAAAATCTGAATCTCCTTCACTGCCCTCAATGGCATTAACTCCCTGATTGCTGATGTGCATAGGAGGTCTTCCAATTTGTGCGTGCCTAACAGCCCTTTGAGCCCCTGTAGTAAAGCCCAAACCAAATTTGTCAGTTTTGTGCGTGAAATCAGGAAGCTAACCCCAATTGGTACACCCACCTTCTTTGATTACAGCCCTGGCATCCTTGAGAGAAGCCATCTTCATCAGAGGTTTGTCGGTAGCAACTTCAGTTGACTCTCACTACGCCAAATAAGCTATTTAATAGCGCTTTTTTTTGTTTTTGATAGCGCTTAAAAGTGCTATTAACCGCGCCACTATTGTAAATATTTCTTATTTAATAGCACTTTAAAAGCGCTATTAAAGTACCAATTTATAATAGCGTTTTAATTAAAGTGCTATCAAAGTCAGTATTTTGCATGTTTTTTGTTTGTTTTTTTATAGCACTCTAAACAAAAAGCGCTAATATATAACATATGTTTGATAGCGCTTTCAAATAAAGTGCTAATAAATGGTACATATTTGGTACAATATTTTTAATAAGTACAGTACAATATTTTTTCTTACACAATCATTTTTTTTTTGTGTAAATATAAAATAACTATATTCAATTCAACACAAATAACGCTTTAAGTTACTCATTGCATATATATTATGATCCATCAAATACCAAATAACATTTTAAATTACCAAATCCTATTGTTTCCAAATATCATAACATATAGAATATTAAGAGGGCGTTTGCATAGCCAAATTTGTAGATGCCCATCTATGAGTACTTCAATCCAAATCCAAAAACATACAATCAAATTCTCTAAACAAAACACCAAAAAAATAAGAAAGGATAACAAAACAATCCCATGTAGTAACCCCCTTCATGATCCAAAAGCGTTGAAGTATCCACAATCAACGCCATTAATTTGACGAGGACACTACAAAAAAAAATTTATATCGATTAATTTTACTCCACATAATTGTTTTAAAATAACATTAATTTAGACACAATTACCTAGAAATAAACTTGTCATACAAATACCTAGAAATGAACAACAATTGATATTAATATATTTGTCACCAATGTGAATATTAGTCAACAATACAAATAACATTAATATTAATAATATATTTGTCAAATAAGAGAATATTTGTAATAATAGAGGTACCTGGAAAATACAGTGATAATAGATGCACTTAACCAATTGTGATCAAGAATCTCCTTTATACTCTCTACACGTAGTTGCTCTAAAAACTCCTCACCAAATATACTTTCCTCCATTTTTATTTGAATTAATGATCCAACCCTCATCATCTTTTTCACATACATATCAAGGAAAGGTAAATTTAAGGTCTATTTATGATTAAGTTTCTTACTCAGGAGGCATATATCCAAACGTCCCGACAAGGCGTGTTTGTAACGAGGAGCTACCATATTCAGTCAATTTTGTCAAACCAAAATCCGCAACCTGTGAAAGAAAAGTTAAACCGCCCGAACTCAACTTTAAGATAAATACATAAAAATTGGATAAAGCATTTGCGAACCTTTCCGCGGAAGTTTTTGTCTATCAAAATGTTTGCTGATTTAACATCTCTATGTATATAGACAGGAACGGTATGCTCGTGAATGTATTCAAGTCCTCTTGCTGAGTCTAATGCAATTTGAACTCTAGCTGCCCATGATAATGGATCCTTCCCTATAAATCAAATATCTTAAGAGTCTTATAATCATCAATAAAATGATGCAATTAGAATTATTCAAAGTTCAAGTTATTGTTATTATTGACAACCTGTGCCGCGCAAATGTTGACTTAGATTTCCATTCTCACTGTATTCATAAACCAAAAATAAGGAGCCCTCAACACAATATCCAATTAGCCGCACCTGCGTAGAATATGTGTATGCAAGGAATCATGATTTTGGAAATAAGTAACTGTATATATTTCAATATCTTGTTATGCAAGTAACTTCTAGTTTCTACATGACTAGCATAAGATCATTTGTAGCAGAGACACTTTGGATTCAAAGTATTTTAGGTGTCTCACACACGCCATGGTTACATTCATTTTCATTTTCTTAAACCGTTACTAAGTTTATACGAGTCAGTGTCGTGTCTGTATCTGTATCAGTATCATGCTTCAACTTTGAATAATATTGGAGCTAGGAAAAGGTCATACCAAATTCAAGTGATGAACGTGTGTCAGAACCTTTAGTTCGGCTAGGAATTCTTTTGATGCTTGCATATCCATCTTTTTTATTGCAGCTTTCTGCAACAACAACAAAAAAAAGAAAAAGTTAATTGCTGCTAATAAATTGAATTTCCATTTTAAAATAGATTTTAAACACACAAACCTCGTTGCGAAGCTCGGCATAGTAAACAGATCCAAATCCACCTCGACCTATTATATTTGCCGCGCTAAATCCGTCAGTAGCTTTGGCGATATGGGAAAGACCCCTCTTGATGCTTCAGAGGAACATTACATTCAGGTAAATTGATATGAAACAGCATTTACAACTGAAATGCATATTGAGATAACACATTAGGATTGGACAGGTGGTGAACTTACGAAAATGAAAATGATTGAATGTAATCATATGTGCAAGAGTCGGGTCACTCTTCCACATAAACAAGTGTCAGACACCAAAGACATCTTCAATCTGAATTATTCACCAATACATTGTACCACTATGTGTTGACCAGCATGATCTTGTTTTTCATGTAGCCTGGAGCTTTATCAGTTATAAAAGCTATAGCTAGTGAAGTGGATTCCAACAATTTAAACTCGGTTTTTCACATTGGAGACATAAGCTATGCGACCGGTTTTCTAGCAGAATGGGATTTCTTTATGAACCTTATTAGTCCAGTAGCTTCAAGAGTTTCTTACATGACAGCAATTGGGAACCATGAGAGGTATTGCTTGCATCCACATTAATAATCATAATTCTGTTCAAACATTTTAACAATAATTGAATGGCTTATTCTGTTCAAACTTGTTCTTATTTATATTCACAGGGATTATGTAAGTTCTGGTTCGGTTTATCAAACACCCGACTCTGGTGGTGAATGTGGAGTACCTTATGAAACATACTTTCCAATGCCCACTTCTGCAAAGGATAAGCCTTGGTACTCAATTGAACAAGCAAGTGTTCATTTTACAGTAATATCCACTGAACATGACTGGTCCATAAATTCTCAACAGGTTAATTAAATAAATAATTATTTCCTATTTCATATATTTCTAATTTAATTAAATGATTCATATATGTAAAATTCATATTGCAGTATGAATGGATGAAAAAGGATATGGCATCCGTTAATAGACAACATACTCCTTGGTTAGTCTTCATGGGGTAAGTGATTTATGTAAATTTTTAGATTGTGGTTTCTCAACTAATGTTTTAAAAACCAAACTTAACATTGAGCCAACGAGACTTCCGAGTCATGATTCAGCTGACTTATACCACTCAAACCGAAATAAAATCACAACATTTATTGAACATACTATTTTTATTTGCAGACATAGACCAATGTACACTTCCAACCAAGGATTTTCGTCTAAAGATCAAAATTTTATTAAAGCTGTGGAGCCATTGCTATTTGAGAATACGGCAAGAACATCAAACTCCTTAGAATTCTGTTACTTACAGTGCCTTGTATAAGAAGCTAACTGTGTATTATGAATATGAAACAGGTTGACTTGGCACTTTTTGGCCATGTGCATAACTATGAAAGAACTTGTTCTGTCTATCAGAATAAGTGCAAAGCCATGCCTATAAAAGATCAAAAGGGAGTAGACACTTATGATAACAAAAATTATAGTGCACCCGTACATGCTGTCATTGGCATGGCTGGCTTCACCTTGGACAAATCCTCAAACAATGTAACTAATTTTCCCTTTATCAAACTCGTTTATATATTCATGGATCTAAATTGTAGTTGTGGTTGCAGTTGCCATTACAATGCAAACTTTGATATTGCATAGCAATGTTGTTGCCGAGACCTCTAAAACCTTTAAATTGCAGCCACAATTTAGATCGAACCTTGTTCATTTATATAAAAGTTTGGACTGTGCTTATGATTTTTTTAATATGCAAATGAAACTGTTTGTTCTGTTGCATTGGCAGGGAGAGAGCTGGAGTCTTAAAAGAATTTCTGAGTTTGGTTATTTACGAGCACATGCTACTAAAAATGATTTAAACTTGGAGGTTAGTATTTATATACTTATATTCCAACCTCAATCACCATTTCATTTTTTAAGCAAAATACATCAGAGAATCATGATTTCTTTATTTTATCTTAAATACATTTTAAGCATTATATACTTCTTTGCAGTTTGTGACATCAGATACAAGAGAAGTTAAGGATAGTTTCCGCATTACAAAGTAAAAGCTTACTCAAGAAAAAGAAACAGATAAAGAAGTAGAAGTAGAAATTGGTTTACTGACAGACCAAAACACACCTATATAAAATATGGAAAGCAAAAGGAGATCTAGAGACACTTGAAGATGAACAGCATTTCGGTTGATTCATTTACAAAGAATTACATATAAACAAATAAGTTCTTGTTACTGCAACTCTTATTTCTAGTCCAAATCAAAATCAATATATATATATATATATATATATAGTTTCTAAGTATGTTAATTGCTGCTAATAAATTGAATTTCCATTTTAAAATAGATTTTAAACACACAAACCTCGTTGCGAAGCTCGGCATAGTAAACAGATCCAAATCCACCTCGACCTATTATATTTGCCGCGCTAAATCCGTCAGTAGCTTTGGCTAACTCCTCATATGAAAACTCCACTGACTTATCAACCGTAATACCAGTCAACCTCGGAGAAGCAATAGTAGTTGATTCAGAAGCCTTATCCAAGCTACTTCCACAACCTAAATCCATGGAACAAATAATCCTCATATATATACATGAAAACTTAATCTACAATCTAGAACTAGAAAATATCACTAGACAGTTAACAACAAAATATGATATATACCATGTTGGAGTTGGCTATATTGTTCTTCAGATGCACCTGGGACTGGTAGAAGGGTTACTTGAGCAACTTTTTTTCTTCTATAGAACACAACATAGAGAATGAGTGCCAAAAGTAAAATTCCAAAAGCTCCTCCAACAACTATGCCAGCAATGGCTCCTTTGGACATTCCTATTCAAATTGGTATCATAATTAACAGTGTCAGCTACATAGCAATATTTATTTACCCTACCATGATTTTTCATGTCACTCTTTCACTTGTATATATTGATTAACATATATTTATGAAGCTGCAATGTGTACATCACCTGATCTGCAAATACAATCAACACCAAGAATTCAATTAACACCAAGAATGACTATCAATTTTTCATATGATTTTCATAATTTATGCATATTGATCAAGAGAAGAAAATAGGCACTGCATTGCTACAAGTGTGATCTGACATGATTTCAAATTGCAAGATGAACATGTTTATTAAAAATGAAAACCCAACAGTTCATTCACTCCAATACACAATAATGCAATAATCTCATGAATCATGAATCATGATAGAGGACAAGGATTGAAAGAATTCAAAACAACAAGATTCAACATTTGAACATGATATTAATGCTGAAGTGAACACCAAGAATTCAGTTTAACTTCGACATGCTCAACTACAGTTAGATTCATAATATAAAATTAGTCATATAAGCTAACAAGAACACTTCTTCTAACAAACACAATTATGAGACTTTACTTGATCAGCAGTGGCGTGAGGAGAATGGCTTAGTGGCCAACCTTACAAATTTGTGCCATCAATTCAGTAATGGAAAGATGCAGTATGTCAAAGATCTTATCAGCAATACCATTTACAAGATTATTAGTAAGATTGTGGTCAATAGGCACAAGATAGGTATTGATGACATGGTTTCTCCTTATCAAACTGGTTTCATCCCCAAGAGAAGCATCCATGAGAATATTGTCATGACTAATGAAATGGTCCATAGCATGAATAAGCTTAAAGGTAACAAGGACTTTTTTGCTATCAAGCTGGATTTATCTAAGGCCTATGACATGAGTTGGAGCTTTATCAAAAAGGTTATGCAGTAGGTTGGCATACCTGAGAAGATCAATCAGATTATCTTGCATTGCATATCAACTGTCAAGATAAATGTGTTGTGGCAAGGTCAAAAGGGAACAAATAACCAAAAAAACACCTTAAAAGATCTGAATAGACAAGTTCGCTCCAGCTCGCACAATCAAGTCCAAGTTTCTCAAATGCTGCAAGCACAACATCGAAATCAAAATCGAAAAACAACAGTTCGTTACACTCCATGAAAATAGAATAACACAAGGAGAATATGGAATTATAGATGAGCACTGACAGTGAGCACAGTCGAACTGTTGATACCTTTATTGAAGGCTATGCGATTCCCACGGTATGCATCCACAAGAACCCTAAAAAACAAATAAATAAATAAATAAAACAATTAACAACCACAACAGTTCAAACAAGTTGAGCAGAGTGAAACTGGAACGAGATTGTTAATAACGAAGAAAAGCAAAAATTCACCCGTCGACTTCGAGGAGAACTGCGAGATCTTGAGACGGGATGCCGCTGTCGTCGGTGGATGAAGCGGCGATGACGGCGGTGGTGTGGCCGGGAAAATCGAAAGGGGAAAATTAATGGGAAACGGTTACGTTCGCTGTGGGTTTGGGAAACTTACACGCGTGGTTGTAGGGGAAAATCGAAAGGCGAATTCGTTGAAGAGTTTTATGAGGAGAAAGAATTGAACATGAACTTGCTAGTGACTGGATTGCACAGTGCTTTTGACGATGTGTTTTGTTTTTTTTTTATCAATTAATTAATTAATTCATTATTATATATAACATAGCGCTTTTTAATAAATGCTATTATATAGGTAGTCAAATAATAGCGTTTTATACAAAATGCTATCTTAAAGAAGTTTAATAATAGCGTTCTGGTACAAAGTGCTATCAAAATTACATAGTCTGTATTATATAATAGCGCCCGATTAAAAAGTGCTATTATAAATGTGTTTTTTCCATTTTAATAGCATTTTTTTTAAAAGTGCTATTAAATTAGGTGATACAAAAAATCATTTTTGGCGTAGTGTCTAAAGTCTAAGAGACCTCTTCAAAATTCTGACAAGGGGTTTCGATGAACTCCCCATCCATCTCCATGTAGAGGAAGGAATTGATATGGCTCACCATATACTCCTCTTCACCTCATACCGTGACAATCTTCCATTTTACTGGATATTTCAACATTTGATGGAGCGTGGAAGTCACTGCCCCAGCCTTATGAATCCAAGGGCGACCCAGCAAGCAAGAATATGATGGTATGATATCCATCACATAGAAGGTGGATGCAAAAGTCTGAGATCCAACTTTAACAGGGATGTCCACCTCCCCGTGCACCATCCTTTTTGACCCGTCGAAAGCCTTGACCACAATATTGCTCGGCTTTAGAATCAAACCTTCATAGCCCAGACGGTCTAATGCTTTCTTTGGCAGAACATTCAATGAGGACCTGGTATCCACCAGTACATGGGCCATAGTGGTGCCCCTGCACTTGATCGAGACATGTAGAGAATCATTATGATTTCTCCCCTTAGCAATCAGATCTGTATCTGAGAAACCCAGCCCATTGTCGGCAGTCAGGCTAGCTACACAATCTTTGAATTCAACGGATGAAGTTTCCTGCGGCTGTGCAGTCTTGAGGAATGCAATTAAAGCCTTTGCGTGGGCTTCAGAGCACAATAACAAGGACAACATAGAGATTTTTGACAGGGTCTACCCCAGCTGCTCGACTACGTTGTAGTCGCTCTTCTTGATAATCTTTAAAATTTCCTCTATTTCTTGTTTAGAGGTTTCTACAATGATCTTCTTAGGTGCCTCCGTCCGGGAAGGCTCACCTATGATTTCTTTGCCCCGAGTCCCAGATGGCTCGGCGACAGGGGTGATAACTGGAATAGGAACTGGGATAGTAGCTGATGTACTAGCAGATGGAATGACAACAGTTTTGCAAACAGTCAGAGGGGAAATCTCGGGAGAAAAGAGTCTTCCGCTTCTGGTGACCTTGCTAGTCCCGACAATATTGTTGATATCAACATCAGCTTCCTCACTTTTTAAGTCTTGTTTAACTCCATGGTAATACACGTCAGCACCATAGTGCCAAGGGACAGCCTTATCCGAAGTGTATGGGATAGGACCAGGGGCAGTAATTATTAACGGAGCAATTCTTAGAACAGGAGTAATCCTAACAGGTTTTCTCGAGGAAACCTTGGAAGGATTGGAGGAAATGGTTATGATGGCAACATCTTGAATTAGAACCAACAGAATCATAGTCTTTTCGAACAGGATCTCTTTATTATCCATCAGGCGCTGAACACCTGATTTCAATAAGTGGCAACCAGCAGGCAGAATTGAACACATGTGGCAACCTTCACCATAACCCGGAAATAAACCGACCAACAACAAATTCTTCTTAACTGTCATCAAACGAGTAGAAATTTCTTCCACATAGGTCACAAATAAATCATCGTCTATAGCATTTACTCCATGATCGTGTTTTGGCATGGGAGCAGTTATGATGTTGGGCTTCTCCGGAGCGTCAAACTCAATCTCTTTGGCTTTGATCAAGTCTTGCACCTTGTTTTTCAAGGCCCGACATTTGTTTGTATCATGACCTGGACTTTCGGAGTGATAGGCGTTGCGGGCATTCGAGTTATAATGGAGATATGTGGTGTTGGGGTTCTTCGGGGCCTCCCTCAGAGTTACCAGATTGGTCTTTAATAATTGTGGTAGAATTTAAGACAAGGCCATATTCAGCCGAGTGAACTGCCTCTGTGGTCTTTCTGTCCTTTGTTGATTGTTGCATTATGGAGCGACTGTGGGTCTTGATATCACTGCCGTATTTACTGCTTGACGGTGTTCAGGTCTGCTTTGGCTCCTCGAGCCATAGACTACACTAGCTTCCTTCTTACCGGTGAAAGGTTTCTTTACTGCACTTGATGAAGTATCCTTCTGTATTTTTCCACTTCGGATACCAGCTTCTACTCTCTCTCTCCAGTCAAGATCAACTCAGTAAACCCAGATGATGAACTGCTGATCAGATGATTGAAAAATGGACTAGATAGCGTCCTTAGAAACATGTCAACTAATTCCCTATCAGACAAAGGGGGTTGGACTCTTCCAGCCAAGTCTCTCCACTTTTGAGCATAGTCCTTAAAACCTTCACTTGCACCCATAGATATACCCTGAAGCTGAGTACGAGTGGGAGCAAGGTCGGTGTTATACTGATACTTCTTGTAGAAAGCAGCAGCAAGATCTTCCCAGTTTTGGACACTGGCTCCTTCCAATTGATGAAACCATTCAAGTTGAGTCCCTGACAGACTATCTTAAAAGAAGTGTACCCACAAATTTCTATCAGCAGTGTGGGATTGGATTTTCCTGACATACGAGCGGAGATGGAGTTTTGGACAGGACACTCCATCGTACTTGGAAAAAACCGGAGCTTTGAACTTATGAGAGATCACCACTTCCGATACCAGTCCCAGCTCTCCGAAATCCAAACCAGGGATCTTCTGAATCTCCATAGCACTCAGACGGTCTTCTAACTGCTTGTACCTATCCTCGGCAGGAGGATATTGCTCATCATCATAATTCGTATCGTTATCAGAAACTGTTGGACTAGGGTCTTTTGTCCTTTCTTGGTTCTCCCCGTCTTTGGATGAGGAGGTCAGATCAGCTGATTGTCTTATCCTTTCTCCGAATCTTCTACCCATGTTTAGAATACCAACCTTCTTCTTCTTCTTTTCTTTCAGAATCAGGATCTTCAAATCCTCTTTCCCTTTAGCCAAGCTTAAGAACATTTGTTGGAATTTGGCGTTCTGTGCCTGAAGATCTTTGATGGCTTGATCAGAAGACATTTCGGCTGAAATAAACAGCGAAGAAGATGAGAAACCTGTAATGGTACCTGTAATGGTGTGCATGATAATGGGATGCGTATGTAATGATTTCAAAGACTTGGGGAAATTTAAATTTACAAACCAGAAATAAATAAACTTTATTAGATTAACTTGTAAAAAGTTCAACAATGCCTTTGAGGCGTTACAAAGCAGTAAACGGAAAACAAAATCTAAAACTAGAAAAGCAAA